TCTCACTACCCTTTTTGTAGAAATACAGGACCCCTTGGCCTCTTGTGTGTTGACAGAGATTGTGCTATTTTTTAAAAATACCCACTGTGCTTTCAATTCTAATATTAAAAATCAAACGAAAGCAAATGTACACTGTAAATGTGATCAACAGTAGCAGGATCACCAGGGTATCTACAACAAATAGTAAATGCTAGAATAAACAGCCAGTAAACACCCAAGTGCCAGACACTGGGTCAGGTCTGAAGATACAAAGATGTGTAAGATACAGCCTCTTACAGTCTTATAAGAAGGATGACAGGGACAGGGTAGCCAATCAGTCATGGATGCCTCACTCCTATGGTCCTCCTTTTAGATCGAGCATACCCTGTGGCAAGGAAGAAAATGTATCTCCTTGGTCCTCCCAGCATCTGGCACAGTGCTTGACATGGCATAAGAGCTCATTAAATTAGGGGCAATAAAATAAACCTTACTCTTGAATGCTTTAACTGTATAGGATTTTTAAAACCTACCATTAGGTTATTAATTCTGTGAGAATGAGCCATGTTCTACTTAGTGTTGAATCCCCCAGTGCCTAATACAGATCCTAACACATAATAGACTCTCATTATTTGTTGGATTAAAAAAATTTAGCAGAGCAATTTTAATGAGCAGAGACTTATTTAAACTGTCATTCTTAACACTACACAAGAGAACAGTTGTTTCTTCCCCCAATTCAAATCATCTAACCTCCAACACAGGTGACTAAGCAGTTATGCATTCTTTTCATTAAAAAGTACAAGTTAGTCCTGGCTGGTATAGCTCAGTGGATTGAGTACAGACTGTGAACCAAAGGGTCACTGGTTCAATTGCCAGTCAGGGCACATACCTTGGTTGTGGGCCAGGTCCCCAGGGGAGGCCACATGAGAGTCAACCACACATTTGTGTTTCTCTCCATCTCTTTCTCCCTCCCTTCCCCTCTCTCTAAAAAGAAATAAAATCTTTAAAAAATAATTTTTAAAAAAGTACAAGTTAGCCACTCCTGGGCCTAAAATCCTCCAATGATTTCCCACCCTTCAGTAAAAGCCAAAATCATTACAAAGTTATACAAGGCCTGTGTCCCCACCTCATACCTGTTCTTCTACTACTCAGTCTCCCTGCCTCTGACTCTGGCTGATCCAGCCACAGTGGACCATGTGTGTCTCACTCAAGCAGTGCTAGGTACGAGGGGGGGACCCAAAAAACCCCAGAATTTATTTATAAAATAGTGTATATATTCTTACACATTTAAACTTCAGTCACTTTCAAAGTACAATATACCTATTGAGACATTTTTCATATTGTTCAAAACAGTTTTTGAATGATCAATTCTGATGCCTTTTAGTGCTTCTGCTGTTTTTGTTTCATCTCTTCCACATCAGCAAAACATTTCCCTTCAAGGATTTTTTTTCTATCCAGAGAAACAAACAAACAAAAAAGTCTCTCAGAGCAAGATCAGGTGAATAGGGATGGTGGAGCGCGAGGGTCACGCCATTTTTTATCAAAAACTACTGAACACTCAGTGCAGTATGGGCAGGTATGCTCATAAATCACCCATCATTAAATTGGTACAAGTGTTGAAACAGTTTTCAAAAACTCACTGAAGCCGAAGACAGCCTCTCACAACAATGCCAATTGGTGAACTGATACCAATGGGTTCCTAGAACACTCACCTAGCAGGGGAAGTCTATATACTACAAGGGACTCACCCTCCAAAAGATAACCCCAGTGTTTTGTGTTTCCCCTTGTATACGGTGCCCAGGGTGTGTGTATCTGCTCTTCCCCCGACCCCGGGCCATCTTCACACAGACATGTGTATCACTTACTCCCTCCTACCATTTAAATCTTTTCTAAAAAAGCTTCTCAAAAAAACCCTTCCAGACTGCAGTGCCTGCCACACCTCACAGTCCCATCTCCACTTGGCATGCTCTATTTCCCTTCCTCCATAGCACCTCTAACTGGCTACCATCATCTGTCTTGCTGACTAGAATGGAAGGGATTTCTGTCAGTTTTGTTCGCTACTTTATCCTCACTATCTAGAACTGTGGCTGGCACGGAATACTTGCTCAATAAATATTTGCTGAATAAATTTCTCTTTAAAACCACTGAACTATATACAATTTGGCTTTTGCTTTAAAAAGCCCCTCTCCTTGTTTTAATATTTTAAATAGGATTAAAATACATGTTTTCATATATATACTCAAAACATGGCCTGTAGGTCTCTTGGTAATAGTAAGATAACTCCATTTTGGTTGCACTTGAGGTCTCTTACCATAGAACATGTTCTTTAAGGTAGTTAAATTATAGAAATTCTTCTGTTTACATTTAGCAATAAAGTATAAATAGTGATATTACAATAAAAAATCTGAACCAGAGTTTTGTTTGAAGTTATAGTTCAATGTGAATTTAAAAAATATTGATAAGAACTTTAATGACAATTCATGTCTTATATACCAATAGAAGTTTTGAAATGTCTTAGAAGTTATTAATCACTGTGTAGTTTTAAATGATGACTAAATACTAGACCACATATACCCATAACACAAAAGCACACATTTCAGACCATGGTTACATAGGTTGTTTTGTAGAAATTTTCCACTGCTATTTCTATCCACACAGACTTCACAAAATATCATATATAATTAGTCACTGACCAGTTCTCTTTTCCTTATTTTATAATAACATCTGTTCTTTATACTGTCAACAATGAATTCAATTTTGCTATTTTTCATAGCTAACTATCTCTCCTATTTTTCCAGCTAACTTCTGGAAGTCCTGTCTGGCACAAGTATGAGACTAAAGTATAGAAAAGAGGAAAACAGTTTATAAAGAATCCATTCATTCTTCTTCTAATATTGATAATCTACTATACTCAATAGAACAAATAAAATGATAGAAACAATCAGCTCAGGTCACAAATGTCTATCTTACCTCTTATATAGAAAACAACATTGACTTCACTCCTATAATACAACTAAACAAAATCCTGGTAACTGTCAGCAATAATAAAAATAAGGTTTATGAGCTCATGAAATTATCTTAGTCTAAACCTCAACAGCACCTTGCAGGAAAATTGCTCTAACACCTCTTCTTTATATACTTGACTACTATAATACCAAAAAAGAGGTAATCCAGTTTGCTAGTATATTTACTTAGTTGAGTTCTTCATTGTATAACAACGTTTTACTTACTAAAAACTATTTCAAATATTAAAGACCAAAACATCCTACTAAGATGGCCTTTCAACAAACTGAAAATCTTCAACAGTGTCTTCTTTAAATATTCTTCAATCCAAATTTTAAAGAAAATAGTTCTAGAATGTATTATCATATTTATCCACCAGATCATAAAATCTATTTTCCCCTCATAAAATTTTTTGCACTGGGAAGTATTGTGTTCAATTACTTTATTTTATAGACTGTGGGGTGGAAGGCCAACTAATTACTCTTCTGTTTGACAAGGTTTCTTCACATTCTTCAGCATTTTAGAGTTAGGAATAACCTAATAAGCTTCTAAATGGAATAAAACCACTGAGAGGCTAAAATCACTTGGCAGTTTTTTCTTTGTTGTTGTTATTTTTTAATCATTACCAGAGGACATTTTGTTCATTGCTTTCAGAGAGAGAGGAAGGAAGAGAAAAACATCAGTGTGAAAGAGAAACATCGACCGGTTGTCTTCCATACATGCTCAGACCAGAGCCAGACCAGAGACTGAACCTATAACCCAGGCATGTGCCTGGGTTATGAAATGGAACCTGCAACCTTTTGGTTATGTGACTAGGCTCCAACCAACTGTGCCACACCGACCAGAGCTTGCTTAGCTCTTTTTGACAGACTCTTAAAATAAAAGGGCCTCTGAGGTCACAGAGCTACAGATTCCTACCAAATGATTCAATACTCTCTACACCACCTTTCAAAAGAGTCATTCAGTTTACACAAGCATATAAATAAAAGGCAGCCTACTGCATGTTTTTATGGTCCTAAGTTTTGGGAACTAAACTCATATTTTGATTTGAAAGCTGACTTCAGTAGCTTACTTTTATTGGCTTTCCTTCTACTCATTCTCTAGAGTTAGGAAGATTGACATATTCAACCTAAATCCCTTCTATGAGACATCTATCTTCCAAATGCATGAAAATAGTGATTATATATATCCCTGCCAACCCTAAACATTCTCAGTTAATTCCATCATTTCACCTAAGACCTAGAAACCAGACCCCTCACCACTCCGGCCATGCTCTTAAGTCACCCATGCCCTTTTAAAACACAGCACTCAGAGCTGACTGGGAATGCCTAGATTGGTCCTGGATGAGTGTAAATATTGCCTCATTTGTTTTGAGCACTATATTTCTATTAATTCAGCCTACAAGTAAACTGCATTCTGAAAGCCATGTTACACTGTTGATTTAAAAGGTCAACTAAAACTAAGGTGAATAGTGTAGATCTCCTTCATCCTATGCAAAGAGGCTCAATTTAAGCTGCAAAATGTCCCCTTCAACTTTTCCCATCATTCATGTGTCTGTGTAGTCACTGATGCAGTCAAGTTAGCCTCCTGCCTAAAAACATTAACGAATCCCTACATATATGCAAAAGAGCATCTTTCACCCACTCATCACAGAAACTTTTGTTTCTTTCTCATAAGCTGTTGAGCAAACTACCCACTGTACCAAGTTTCCAGGTAGAAAACTGTCAAAGTTGACATTTTCCCTGCTTGAAAGACTTAAAAATTCATACTTTAGATACAAAATTATCAGTAACTATGATTCATCTTTTTTTCTAGATAAGGTCTACTGCTTCAGTCTCTTCCATATAATTTTTAATAATTAAATTTTTATAGAAAAATTTATAAAGTTTCATAGATACCAGCAATTCATAAATTCCAAGGGGTTTTCAGATAACTACTCAAAAAAATCACTAACAAAAATTTCACTTCCTTTTTTTAAAAAAAAATTTACATGCATACAGGAGGCTAACTGATCATCACTATGCCTAGTCACAGGGTGACAGAAAAAAAGTCACCACCATAAAAGGATGTCTGCCTAATCTTTCTTAGAACAACATGCCAAGGTTAATCTACTTCGATTTGGTCAAATCCTGACTGCCACTACACAGAGGCCTGAACAAGTCACTAAGCGGTAAGTACTAGATATTTTGCTTTTTCAACAGTCTTTTGAGTTAAGAAAAACTTTGAAAGCCTACTTAATATAAGGTTAAGGAAAAGAATCCTAAAAAACAAACTAAACATTTCTAACAAAAATTATATTATTAATATTGTTTAGACTCTCTAGCAACTGATAGTTCTAATCAGCTAGGATTAAGCTAGATGAAAACAATGGATCATTCCAGAAACATGTTTGCCAAAAAACAGGCTTACTCTGCATTTCTGTGTGAACTCACAATTACAAAAACAGAATGAAGTATATATCGGCAAACATGTTTCACAATTACAAAAACAGAATGAACATTAGCAAATAATTCCAATACTTCAGGATACTTTAATATGAAGAGAAAGGAACAAAGTTATTTTAAGATGAGGTATTCCTATACTTAAATATATTTTATATAACAAGTTATTCAGCACAATTTAACAGAGTTGTAACATTATACTATTTGACCACACCTCTACATATAAAAAGTCTCTTCTATACCTCTATTATGTCTATACTTTTTTAAAATGAAACTTTTGATATAACCTGATATTTTTTAGTTTATAAAAACATTTTACCAACTTATCCTCTGATCAGTGACAATTTGGGCTTCACTATTCCTCAGCCAACCTGAGTATTTCAACTCTAAATATAAACTATTAATTGGATAAGTAAAAAAAAAAGTATCTCTGTTGTTTTATATTCATTTGATGATCAGTAAGACTAAAGATGTCTCTCTATATTTTTTAAATTTCTATGTGCCTAAAAACAATTTACAAAACAATAAATTATTTGCAGTGTTTTGCCAATATTTATGTCCGCGTTTGGAATGAAGGTAACAGAAACTTTGGGCAAAATGTAAGCTGTGAGGAAACTTCCTCTAAAGGAGGGTGTGGTTTTTCAGTTTTCTGAGGCGTGTCATTCTAAGTACAATTTAGTATAGTGGTTAAGAGCCTGCACTCTGGAGTCAGGCTCAAACCTGGGCTGTGTGGCCTTGGGGCAAGTTACCTAACATTTCTTCTGTCAGTTGCTTCATTTGTAAAATGGGGAGTAATGAATGATACTGCCAAGTTCCTGTAACAATGGCTCTCATACTAACTGCTAGGAAATTGTCTGCTATCATATGCTGCCCTCCCTCTGCCCATTAAACTGCCAAAGGATCGATCCAACAGGAAAAGTGATTTTTTGAACTTATCTTCAGATCTTTATGGAATATTTCACATACAGACTGGGTCTCCGTATGGTTATAAACTTGACTCTGTTTACTGTCTGGATTGCATTTACTAGTACTGTTTAAGTGCATGTTTTCTCTTTGTGGTTTAATTGTACTTTCTGAGTACAACAATTCAGAGAGCACACCACTCTTCAAAGCATCCTCACTCACACACTCACTTAGCAAGTGGCAGCAGTTCCTCTTAATAAATTACTTTAACTGGCTTCTAAAAATTTATCAATGATATTGTAACATGACCAGTCACTTAATGCAATAAATATTAACTCAGATCACTATATGACTTTCATTCATTTATGTATTCTGTAAGCATTTACTAGGTACCTATTATAAACATGTGATGGGATAAAAATGTATAAAATAAAGCCATCATCCTTAAAAAGTTTGCATTTAAAAAAAGACTTCACCACCCAGTAAAGGAGTTAACAGATGATACTTTTTTCCCTGCTATGGTTAAAAACCTGCAGGAGTTGTTAAAACTGTAGAGCTTACAAAGATCCTTGTGGTGTCTTAAAAGCACAAAAAGAAGAATAAAAATATTTTGTTAAGTATCTGCAAATACTAAAAAATAGTAATATAAAAATGTATTAATAGCATAAAAGTTACCTTGGGTACCCACCATTGTCTTCCAATGGAAATTTCAGTCCAAATGGCTTTAGGAAATATTGTTAAAAATAGTAAGATCTAAAATCTTACTTTAGATCTACTTAAGATCTTACTTTAGATAAGATCTAAGATCACTTACAAAACCTTTACTTACTTTTGCTCTGGCTGGTGTGGCTCAGTGGATTAAGTGCAGGCCTTTGAACCAAAGGATTGCAAGCCAGGTCCCCAGTTGGGGGCATGCAAGAGGCAACCAACTGATATATCTCACACATCAATGTTTCTCTCCCTCACTTTCTCCCTCCCCCCACAAAGTAAATAAAACCTTAAAAAAAACTTTACTTTAAAATATGCTACAAATTAATGAATTCCTTTACTTAATCAACATAGTTCCCTTTCCTCTCCCTTCCAGTCTCCTGAGCTCTCCTCCTCTCTCATGCAGAGAGGTATGAGTTCGTTAAAGTTTTGAGATGTCTTCCTCTTTTAATTGTTTTCTACTAATAACATCAGATCATGTTAGAAATGAGAGCTATGAAGAAAAAGTATTGCAAGGAAAAAGTATTGCAAATGAGAGCTAGAAAGAAAAGGAATGTGCTCAATGGAGCCAAACTGCCTGGAATGAATTCTGAGACTTAACAACTATATCTTCAGGCAAGTCACAGACGTTTCATCCTTTAAATTCATTTGTAAAAGTTTTATGAGGATTCATGTGAATATATGTAGAGTGCCCAGGAGAGTGCCTGGGACAGTCTGTGCTTAATAATACTATTTACTACTATTAATCAAGAGTTTACTATAGTCTAATAAAGAACCTTTGCTTGAGGATCAAGAAAGCCAGGATTTTGCTGGTCTTTAAAGAGCATTTACTGAGCATCATTCATGGGTCAGCTGGAGATACACAAAATTAACAATACAGTCCCCACTCACAGGACCTCACTGAATAGTGGGAGACAGAAAAAAGAAAAACAACAACAACAAATATCAACAATATTGACGGTATTACAAAGCATAGTGCCCTAATAAGGGCACCCCACACTGCTTTTGTCTGGGTGCTGGGAAGTGAGCAATAGAGAATAAAATCAGAGAAGCTTCCAGGAGCACCTGATTTTGAACTAAGTCTTGAAGGAAAGTAGGAGCTAAGAATACCTGACAGGAGAGGAGGCAGGCATCAAGACACAAGGAAGAGCATGAGAAACGCACAGAGCTGTGACAGAATAGAGGGCATCAACAGATTGCAAGTAATTTAGTATGGCTGGAGCCAGGACATTTTAAGAGGTAATATGGCAAAGATCCCACCGAAGAGAGAAGCTGAGCCCAATCATAAAGGAAAACAGAGAGCTTTCAGTTTGCCTGGGGTTCAAGGGGCACCTTTTGAAGCATGTGCAAAAACTGCTATAGTGTTTCCAGAGAGAAATGAGGATGGCCTGAAGGCAGGGAGAGGTGATGGGAGTAGTAAACAAAGAGGCAGACAAAAGACAGAATAGATATAAATGCATGGTGCAGAGGGAGAGGCTGGGTGCGGGGGAGGGTCAGGAGGCTGAAGGCACAGGAAATGCCAACTGACTGGAGGTAGCAGGTGAGGGAGGAAACAGCTTCCTAGCACCTATACTGAGGGAGGACTGGGAAGAACAAATGACCTAATTCTGTTTATCTATCAAATAAGGGTATTGAATGTTTTTAATTTCTATCAGATAACAGAGACAAAACCCAAAACTAAAAACTCCCTAGAACTTTAAGGACAAAAGGTGCACATTATTTCTAGAAACATTTTGGTCTCAGAGGATAAAAATACAGACTCAGACCTTCATTACAAAGGGTTTTTTTTTAATATTGTGCAGTTAGTTGTCCTGCATAGCAGTCAAATCATGCCACAGGGAAACACAGTATTTATCTTCCTTACACTGAAATGAGTATTATAGTGGGATTCCTTTTTCTTACAGTTCCTAAACATTATGTCATAGACTGTAAGTCCTCAGTGTTATGACCTACTTTGTCTTCATCTTTGACAACTTCCATAGCATCCTAGTCAGTACTAAAGTTACCAAAAGCCACACAAGGAATAAATAATTGGAGAAAGGTGAAAGAAAAATAGCTGGACTATGTAGAACCCTCAATGTATAGGTGGATGTTTTACCAAATAATTTAAATGTCAGGCACCTTTCACTTTTCCATCAATTTCAGTGTACATCTTTATAGAAACTGGAGTTGATCTTCACTGACTGTCCAATGAGTTAAGGGCACTATAGAGGCACAAAGAAACTACAGACTGGCAAACACCGGTTTTCTGTCTTGAAAAAGTTTCCCATGCACTGCCCTATAAATGACTCTTTGCAGACATACTGAGAGGTAGTCAGAATCAGACTATATCATGGAGTGGCAGCAGGATCACATTTCCACAGAAAGTGAACTCCCCAGGAAAGCAGGGAAGCAAGGTCCCCTCAGACAGACTGACATGAGACAACTGTACTGTGAATATGAACACCCTGGCACGTGTGAGGTTCCATTCTGAGAAAGTATAGGCAGCTGCCAATGTGTCACCTTTCTGGAAAATATTCTCTATATCCTTCCAAAAACCTAAATCTTGGACACAGTCATAGCTATTAATTTAGAACTCAAAGCTGGTTAGAAAAAAATGATCTAACAGTATAGAAGGATTTATTTTGCTAGGTTAACTGGGGTGTTTACTATTAAAGCAAGTTGAAATTGGCGATCTGACTTTGCCAGTGAAGATAGTGATAAAGAGGTGGCGCTTGTGCTGGTCACAGCCTATCTGTGCCTCAGGCTGCTTTCCCACAATCAGTAATTAATGTTTCCCACCTGCCTATTTTATAAGCAAATGGCACAAACAACTATTCAGCAAATGGCACAAACGATCAACTAAATTTTGACCCCGCAATTCCACTTGTGGGACTATACCCTAAGAACCCTGAAACACCAATCCAAAAGAACCTATGCACCCCAATGTTCATAGCAGCACAATTTACAGTAGCCAAGAGCTGGAAGCAACCTAGGTGTCCATCAGTAAATGAATGGATCAAAAAATTATGGTACATTTACACAATGGAATTCTATGCAGCAGAAAGAAAGAAGGAGCTCCTACCCTTTGCAACAGCATGGATGGAACTGAAAAGCATTATGCTAATCGAAATAAGCC